TTTTTTTTTTTTTTTTTTTTGTATGGTCGTTTATATATTTCATCATCTATCAATATAAACTTCATTAAAATGTTATAGATGAAATTCTCATAACTTTTGGTGATGCTGAGCTTTAGTGATGCAAAAATAAGTTGTTCTATGTTAAAAATATCAACCATAACATTTCTCAATAACTTCTCTGGTGACAAAAATCGAAATTTTTTTTATAATTTCATGTGTCTGGAATACACCTATTCAACATCTTTTGATGCAGTCTCAATTTTTCTTACTGGGAAAAGACACAAGGCTAAACTTTGTGTACATACACGTGTGCATAGCTACAAAATCGAATCATTTACATTTTAAATCGAGTTCTTAGGAAATTATAAGCAAATTAAACAGAATAAATGAAAATGTTGTGCAACCAGATAATCAAGTGTCCTCAATTGGTCAAGAATTGAAGTATACTTAGTACTCGGTTAGTTAACTCTCTATTGATGGTACCCTCAACACGAATTAAAGACAATTACCAGCATGCAGCTATAGCAAGTGGTAACATACAAGCAGGTACTCGAAAATTAACGAGTCTTTACAACAACGAGTAAATTAAAACTATTTTCCGTGAATATTTATACTTATAACGACTTTTGAAAGTAAAATTCACGACGATCAAAGAAGCCAAAATTTTCTTCTAATAGCTGAACTGAAATCTCGTGGTATTACCCATACAAAAAACCTTTACAAAGTGGATAAATTTGCTTGAAAAAAAAAAAAAAAAAAAAACTCACCTGCTTTTCGAGGTCTTATTATTATTATTTTTTTTTTTTTTCAACAAACTTGAAACTGCACGTAAATGCAAAACATGCAAAGAACAGCGCACGTTTAACGAACTAATTTCCTACTTGAAATTCAACCTACGTGTATACTAAACAGGTTGCATCGAAAAGTAAAAAACAAAACATTCAAACTCCTTTCATGCAACGCTTCCTGCATGATTGTTTTTTTTTTTTTTTCAAGCCCAATCACCGTCGTCATACATCACGACAAAGCTTACCCTTGAATTTCCTTCGCCACACACACACAGATATTTTTGTGGAAAAGTTCATATTTCTCGTCATTAGAGCTTAGGTCCAATAATCACATACCTTGGAATTGTGGGCAAGGTGCAGGCGAACACGGCTGAGCTCACGTTCTAGCAGCAATTGTTGCTCCCGGTAACGCTCAGCCTCCGCCGGATTGTTGCGACTGCAGCCCTGCATCTTGTGCCTCAGACCACCCAGAGCTTTCTCCAGCAGTTCCTGTGTGTTGTGTCAAGTCAATAGTTAATTTGGCCATTACAGCGTCTCACGCACGGATGAGAAATAACTCATGGCGGATAAAGATGATTTTCGTTCACCAAAATTTTGGAGCTTGTATTTATTTATTTTATTTTTTGTAAATTTCATTGCGGAAGTAAAAAAAAAAAAAAAAAAAGAAAGAAAAAGACTAACTGTCCTTTTGTCTCCAAAGGAATATATCCGACACAGCGGGGAATGAAAGAAAATTCCAGAAATGGCCATCGCGCTGAAGGTCAAAATTTCAAAGATACATACGAACCTTGTTCTGCTGCAGACTGTGCAGGGTTCCGGATTCCTCTTGAAGCAACTGATCCAATTTGTAGAGCTGCTGCACCTTCGCCTGTAACAATCGGAAAAACAAAAGAAACTCATCTTGTGCTCTGTTTCGATCAAGCAAGCAGTTTTTTTTTTTTTTTTTTTTTTTTGTACCTTACATCCTATCGCATTGAATTATCATAATTATTACAAGTAATGAAATATATCAATGTTAAAATTAATTGCAATTTAAATATTTCAACAAGAAAAATACGGTAACTTGAAAGACATTATATTATAAGTTAAGTACATTACTCATCAAATTGTCGTCACACATGAGATCCTGTACATTTAGAAGATTGAGATGTAAACTTCTAGTACAGAAAGACCGTACACGCCATACACACGTACTATTGCAGCTAAAAACCAACGCTATCATATGTTCGGGGAAATTCAACCCACTATAGAAAAAAAAATTTTTTTTTTAAATAATCCCGACTCGGCTCTGTTAACCACGACGAAAGAAAAATGGCATACACACGCGTACGGTTGCGCTAATTCCAAGCGCACACGAGCCTTAGCTCCCGCAAATCTAGTCTCCCTCTCTTCGCTCCTTTCGCAACAGAAGCCTCTTTTAAAAAAAAAAAATAAAAATACTGGCTCTAGTAGCGGAAGAGGGGCACACAGCTACACCGTTACGCGCATTAAAGAAATAAAAAATAAAAAGCCGCGTGTGCGTAGTTGGCACGAATTCTGCAATGTATAACATTACAACCGCATAAAGCGAATAGGAACGGGGGATCTGGTTGAGGATACCCTTTACGGTGGACACACGCACACACGCCCTGCCCAGCAGCTCGACACTCGATACTCGCTATGGACGCCCAGAGACTCTTGACTGTCCGTAGGTGTACCGCGGTTACCTTTTGCAAAATCACCTTTTTTTTTTTTTTTTTTCATACACGTTTATGTAATGCAAAAACTAGATCAACGATGGGGCGAGCGAGACCAAGGGGAGGGTGGGCTCTCTTCGCGATAAGCCGCCCATCCCCCCGAGAGTGACTCGAAGGGGTCGCTCATCAGCTACGGCGCGAGCGCACGTGGTAAAATGCAAACGCACGCGCGAGGGTGGTCCTCTTATACATACTATGTGGGTTAATGAGCGTGGGGTTGGAAGAATCTCACGCGGTGCTCTTCTTTTAGTTTAAAATTGCGGGAAAAATGATTCGGAAAGGTAAGTATATAAAAAAGCTCACCTGCAGCTGTCCGTGATCGGGGCTGAGCCTGTCCCAGTCGCGTCGCTCCTCGGCGAGCAGCCTCTGCTCCTGGACGCGCTGGTTGAACTCGAGCCGGTCGCGGTGTTGCTCCCTGGCGCTGTTGTCCGGCGTGAAGTCGTAACGCGAGCCCGGCAAGCTGTTGCAGCTCATGCCGTTCGCCCGGTTGCAGTTGTAAAGCGAGCCGAGCTTTACCATGTTGTCGACGAGGTTTACCAGCGGCTTGCCCTTTTCGTACTGAAACGGTCGAGCGATTGGTCAATGCTAAAGGAGAGGTTTTTT